ATTTATTTTAGTTTGGGAAATAAAACTCAGATTTGAATTTTAATGAAAATTACGATTTTATATTTTTTGAAAATTAAACTAAAATCACAAAAGTGTTAACACCCTGTATACACATTATAATTATGTAAATACATAAAACAAACATCTTTTTGTAAGTTTTCGAGCTTTTCTAACGGCATGATATTTTAGCCTTATTTTTTAAAAATGTATTTTAATTGTGTAGATAATCCTACATTGAAGGAAAATGATACAAATTCAGAAAGGTTTTGTTTATCTATCCAACCATCCACTATTGCCTACATAAAATAAACACTAAATTAATTATTCAGAAATCGTGAGATGCGATCTGGTGTGATGTAGGTGTCAGAAAAACATTTTCTTTATCGTGCCAACGTTTCGACCTTTATTGAGATCATCTTCAGGGCTCAGTGTTTGTCTTCTGTGTAATTGTGCCATTCTTGCGTGTCGTGTTGAGAGTGCCCCCCCTGAAGATGATCTCAATAAAGATCGAAACGTTGGCACGATAAAGAAAATGTTATTCTGAAACCTACATCACACCACCGCATCTCACGATTTCTGAATAATTATCGATTAACGGTCACTAACCACCACACATTTATAAACAATAAATATTACTTCACTAGTTTCGTGGTCCGCTTGACCAATATCATACAATTAATTAAGATTTTTAGTTGAGATAAAAAGTCAATGGCACGAGCGGGATTCGAACCCACGATCTTCGGCTTGATACACCGCTGCTCTACCACTTGAGCTATCGTGACCTCGATCCACTCCGACACCAACTTCCATCTCAACCACACCTTTGAATTTTTTTATCTCAACTAAAAACCTTAATTAATTGTATGATATTAATTGGTCAAGCGGACACGAGACTAGTGAATTAATAAGTTTAAAATGAAGTATCCTTCACTAAAGCTCTCCGTGGCCATTTTATTTGTCGCCGAGAATCAAATTGATTACACGACATTTGAAAAATTGCAAAAAGGAGGGAAAATTCAAAGGTGTGGTTGAGATGGGAAGTTGGTGTCCGAGAGGGTCGAGGTCACGACAGCTCAAGTGGTAGAGCAGCGGTGTATCAAGCCGAAGATCGTGGGTTCGAATCTCACTCGTGCCATTGACTTTTTATCTCAACTAAAAACCTTAATTAATTGTGTGATAATAAATATTACACTTAAATCAATTCTGTAGTAGAGTAATAACTTGACTCTTAAGTTGCAAAGTTTCTGGCACCTCTTCTCTGATAAAGCTCATTTTACAAGTGGGCCACATTTATGACCAATTAACCGAAGATCTATGGTACCTAAACGTTTCTAATGGAAAGAGCAAACCGCAAAATCTTTACGGCGGATGAAATTATTTAAGTACACACGTTCTAAATCACGCAGGGTATTTGCAATGAAACCAATTGCTGTGAATTACACAAATTAGCTGTGTTTAATTGCTTTGTCTGTGCTTTAATGCGCGTATTGGCTTTCTTTATTTTCTCTCTGAATGTATATAGTTTATAATGATTTTTATGCTTTGTTACGACTGAAAGAAAATAATTAAAATATTAATTAATTGCCTAATAAAATATAATTTCGGCGTAGTAATTCAAATGCAACATTAAATCTTCACGTTTATGGACTTTTCTTTTGTTATAAACTTAGATAATTGAATTAACCTATTAATTTATGACACTAGTATCTGACAATCTAACACGCAGGCTGGCACAAACATATTTATGTAACAGATTTTCTAATAACAAACGTACTTTTTTCCCTAAGTATAGCTGTTGAAAAAAGGCTAATTAACCGATTTAATTTATTCTCATTGCATTCCTTCTTCGGCTCATTGGTGTCCAAAATTTCATTTGCTTCCACTGCGACCTAAAAGATCGTAAAAGATCACTATTTTATTTTGAATTTCGTCCATCCGCTGGCTATTCATATGGAGCATCTAAATTTCGGCAGAGTACGATGATCTAATATTGTACAGTTTTCCAAGTAAATCGTGAATTACAATTAATTAAGGTTCTTAGTTGAGATGAAAAAAATTTAATGGCACGAGAGGGATTCGAACCCACGACCTTCGGCTAGATACGCCGCTGCTCTACCACCTGGCTATCAAGCCGAAGGTCGTGGGTTCGAATCCCTCTCGTGCCATTAAATTTTTTTCATCTCAACTAAAAACCTTAATTAATTGTAATGTATTAATTGGTCAAGCGGACCACGAAATTAGTGAATTTAATAAATCATGAATCTTGTGTCAATGTGAATTTAAAAAAAAAAAAAAAAAAAAAAAAACAGTTTTTCTTTCAATCTACTACGTTTCGGATTTATTTTAATCCTTCCTCATTTTTTAAAATAAACTGTTACAAAATATTAATGACTGACGACCACTGTTTTAACCACTGCTTTAACTCACCTGAGGAAGAATTAAAATAAATCCGAAACGTGTGGATTGATAGAAAAACTGGTTGTTGTTTTTTTGAGATGACCTATTATCCCACCTTCGAGAAGGAAAAATCATAAGTGTAGCAACTTATTTTAATATTACACATTTGGGGGGGAACAATTTCGACCTTCACTGTACAACTACAACAAGGAGTTACTGACTTCCTCTTAAGTCAGACACTTAGTCAGCAAACTATAACTACAAATGGAATAACTACACAAGAGTTAAGGGGCAACTAGTTAAAAGAAGACTTGGACAATTATGATGACTTTTAGGATCGAAATCTATCTATACAAGCATTACTGCCACCACTTAACATACGGCGAGATGAGCCGTGAAATTCTACTAAGCCAGGGCTTCCCAAACTTGGTCCGCAGACCCTAACTAGGAGGTCCGCTGCGAACTTCGAGAATAAGTAATAATTTCAAAAATAAACGGATAATGAATAAATAAAATTAAAAACTAATAACAACGAGTACTGAAAACGAAAGTTTTTATTATGTAGCAGCAGTCATTTTGTTATCCACAGACATGCTTTAGGTATAAAACAAATACCAGTCTCTTTTAAGAAAGTTTTGAATGAGTCGGTTCAAATTAGTAACTATATCAAGTCAAGACTTTTCACAATAATATATGAATGAGGGAAGCCTTCATCATTCCCAGCTTTACCAGAAGTTAGGTGGCCGTCAGGCGAAAGCACCTTCACGAGTATAGGAATTTTGTTCTGAATTCTTATCCCTGTTGATGGAAAACAGTTTCAAATTGGCCAAAGTTTTCAATGATGAGAAATGGCAATGTATACTGTCGTATTTATAAGATATTTTCATAAAAATGAATGTGGCTTTCTTTGCATGGGCTAACTATCACAGCTTACGATGCTAATGGCAAAGTTCACGCCGTCAAAAGAAAAATTCAGTTTTGGGTTGAATCTTTGAGAAGGAAAAGGCGGAGTGTTTTCTGTGTGAACTGATTTTTTGAAAGAAAACAAACTGAAGCTTGCGAACGGCACTTTGATGAAATATGTGATCACCTTCGAATTTTGAGAGATGTCCTTTGACTGCTGGGCACTACTTCCCATCAGCTCGAGGAGGTGGTCAAACCGTTTTCAATTTCGACAAAGCCAACCAGTCTACCTTAAAGTGAATGCAAATGTTTGATAGACATTCACGACTCCACCATGAAATGTATTTTTGAGTCCGATAGTTACCACTATTTTTGACTCTTGAAAACAAAAAATTTCAAACCCTCGTTGAAAAAGCAAAACGTGTTCTTCCATTTGCCACAATTTACTTATGCGAAAATGACACTACTGTAAAAAAAAAAATATAAAAAAATAAAGTTGTAAATAAAACGGACCAAGTGTTCAAAATTGGAAAACGCCCTATAAAATAAATTTCATTTGGAAAAAGAAGAAAACAATATATAAAACAGAAGAAAACNGAATATATATATACATACAATTTCATGTGGAAAAAGAAGAAAACAACTAAAACTATGATACTACTGTAAAAAAGAAGAAAATAAAGTTTTAAATAAAAAGGACCACGTGTTCATAATTGGAAAACTAGCCCTATAAAATACAATTTTATGTGGAAAAAGAAGAAAACAACTACAACTATGACACTACTGTAAAAAAGAAGAAAATAAAGTTTTAAATAAAAAGCATCACGTGTTCATAATTGGAAAACTAGCCCTATAAAATACTATTTCATGTGGAAAAAGAAGAAAACTATGACATTACTGTAAAAAAGAGGAAAATAAAGTTTAAAATAAAAATGACTATGTGTTCATAATTGAAAAACTAGCCCTATAAAATAAATTGTATACAATTTCATTTGGAAAAAGAAGAAAACAACTAAAACCATGACACTACTCTAAAAAAGAAGAAAATAAAGTATTAAATAAAAAGGACCACGTTTTCATAATTAGAAAACTAGCCCTATAAAATAAAACGTTTACAATTCCATATGGAAAAAGAAGAAAATAGCTAAAACTATGGCTCTACTGTAAAAAAAGAGGAAAATAAAGTTTTAAATAAAAATGGCTGTGTTCATAATTGGAAAACTAGCCCTATAAAATAAAACGTATACAATTTCATGTGGAAAAAGAAGAAAATAGCTAAAACTATGGCTCTACTGTAAAAAAGAAGAAAATAAAGTTTTAAATAAAAATGGCTATGTGTTCATAATTGGAAAACTAGCACTATAAAATAAAACGTATACAATTTCATGTGGAAAAAGAAGAAAACAGCTAAAACTATGAATAACATTAAAAAAATATGTTTTAGGGAGTAAGCAATCATTAATGTTTACACCCTTAAAAATATAAGAAAGGGTTTTTTTTACTGATCGCAAGCTGAGAATTGTTTAGTCTTACACGGAAAAAATGTTTTCGTCGTAATATTCTCCATAAGTTAATTAAGTTGTAAAGAGTACAAGTAATAATCGAAATTGGTGAGAAAGGAGTAAAAAGAGGGAGAGAGTGGGAGAGCGTTGAAGGTGTATATAAGCGAAAGGACGCTGCCGGCGTCGCATCAGTCGGACATGCTACGTTTTGCTATCCTCCTCTGCCTCCTCGGGCTCGGTTCTTCCGAAGAACCCCTTCGTCTCGTTCGAAGGGTTTTCGACGAATGCTTCCACTCCGAAGACGCCGCCAGCTGCTTCCAGGGCAAGGCGGTCGCCCTCGTCGACAGGGCCGCCCGGGCGGATTTCATCCCGTTCGGGGATTCGTTCTCTTTCGTGAGGACTGCGGGATCGGGACGCGAAGGAAAAGCCCTCTCGGACAACGAGGTGGAAGAGGCCGGGAAACAGGGAAAACTCCAGGACCTCCTCTGGGACAGGATCGCAAGGTTTTTCAACACGCACACCGTCATGGTCAACCTGCCGAAACTATCCGCTGACCAGCTCAAAACCGGAATGGAAGAAGGTATATACAAAAAAATTAACAACTTAACTTTTGGGAAAATCACAATTTAAAAAAAAATAGTCTAAAATCTTAATTGATCCTAATAATTACATTATTGACATTCTTGACGTTCAAAAAGTTTTATTCTTAAAGCTTCTATTTAAAACTTATTTCAAAATATTTCAACAAAGAATTTACGAAAATTAACAACTATATACGTAAAAGTGCAGTGTCTGACTATTTCTTTTAAAAAAAGTAGCTTAATTAGCTGATTGCTAACTACACAGAGAAACTTATGAGTAATAGTTACTGATTAGAGATACATTTAAAAAAAACTAAAGTTTAGAAAAAAAGTTCTAATTTCTTGTAGAGAAAAACTTCTGAAAAACTACTAAATATCTAACTAACTATAAGCTGACATTGACTAAAACTATTTACCAAAATTTACACTATGGTCTATATTTACTGGTATATATTTGATTTGATTGATTTAATCCAATGTTATTTACAAGCTGGTAAGTAAATAAATAAATATGATACGATTTATATAATTTTGGTTCAAATCTGTATTATTGTTCTGTTATTGTAGAGAAAAACACTTTTGGTTAAATAATCTACATAAACATAACATGATACTTTATGTATAATCAGTACGATAAAAACATTTCTCAGAGATATAACATTTTAACATAAATTAACTGTTACAAAGGGTAAATTTTCAGCTTACGAGGTACTCTTGTTAAAATGAAAGAAATAGACTTTATTATATATACTAATTCAATTTAGTCAGAGAATAAATCATAAAAATATGACTAAATAAAAACTTAAACTAAATAATAAAAAGCTTAGACGAAAGAAGAAAAGAAAACCTGTTATAACAATAGTTTAACTGTGTGGTGATTAGTGACCGTTAATCGATAATTATTCAGAAATCGTGAGATGCGGTCTGGTGTGATAGGTTTCAGAAAAGCATTTTCTTTATCGTGCCAACGTTTCGATCTTTATTGAGATCATCTTCAGGGCTCAAAGTGTTTGTCTTCTGTGTAATCATATCTCAATGAAGATCGAAACGTTGGCACGATAAAGAAAATGTTTTTCTGAAACCTATCACACCAGACCGCAACTCACGATTTCTGAATAATAATAGTTTAACTATTAACTCAACTTCAGCACTTTCAGCTATTGCTTAAAATTATAAAGAACTAATTATTCTTTGTATGTAAGGTCTTGGTTGAAATGAAAAAGTTTGTGTCACGAGCGGTATTCGAACCCACGACCTTCGACTAAATACACCGCTGGTCTGCCACTTGAGCTATCGTGACTCGATCCACTCGGACACCAACTTCCCATCTCAGCCCACCTTTCGAATTTTCCCTATTAATTTCTCAACTTGAGCAGTTTCGCCTATTGCTTGATTTTATAAAGAACTAATTATTCTTTTTATGTAAGGTCTTGGTTGAAATGAAAAAGTTTGTGTCACGAGCGGGATTCGAACCCACGACCTTCGGCTCAATACGCCGCTGCTCTAGCCACTTGAGCTATCGTGACTTCGAACCTCTCGGACACTGGTTCTTTTCAGCCAAGACCTTACATAAAAAGAATATAATAGAATAATTGAAATAATTTGATCAATAGACCACTAAACGGATTATAAAGAACGGACGATGAAAACTCAAAAAATAAATACATGGAAAAGTTATTTTAGCTAGCGGTTCTTGGGTCGAATCCCGCTGAGCCCATTTTTAATGGATAAAGGTATGAAAAATATATTGTAAAGTGGTTTGGCGCCTTGATCCTCCACACAAGCGGATGTAAAGCCCTCCTGTGTGGCAGGAATTGCATACTCACTTTAAGTAAAGCAGGGAAGTAAAACAGTGGGGATTTTAACGAAAAATTTATGTATTCCTTGTTATTTTTTAGATGAAATCTGACAATGACTCAAATTGATTCACAAATCTGTACAAAACCGATTAATTAAATTTTCTTTCATAGAAATAGACCGAAGAATATCGATTACTAAAAAGTCTGAAGATTGATTGCAGTTTTTGATATGTATGTATATATAGTTTTTTACCTTACCAGTTCTCAAATTAGGAACGATTGATCAAACTTCAGAAATTGATTTGTAAGAAAAGACAACCACCTATCACTTAGGAATGTCAGCATGTACTGGAGAAACTTATTTTGCAAAGAAAACAAAAGTTTAACTGTCACTGCGTCCGTCTATGCAGTTTTTCCCTTCTGAAGGGCGTTTTGGTTTTGATCGTGTCTGTTTGTTGTTCCTAACTGAAGATGGCGGGTATCAAAAGGCTAAGAAACAAATAACATCATAAAACCAGCGAGAGTTGACGGACTTAATGTCGGTTCAACATTGAACCCACTCGCAGACCAACTATACCATCAGCGCAAAAGAAAACAAAGCTTGATTGTGCGGTCCCAAAATTGAATAGAAATTTTCAAAAAGATTTAAATGATGGAAGCTAGAGAGAAAAACCTTGATATCTATGACATCTTTTGTGAACGGTATATCGTTTGATCCAAGTTAACAATTTTAAGTTACTAAAGACCATGTTGTTTTACATTTTTGTTTAATTTCAACTAGAAAACTTTTTCTTTTATGCCTGAAATAAATGTTTATGACATATTTTGATTAAATCCTTGTAAATAATTACGTAGGTATATCCATATGCTATTTGTGAATAAGACGGACGAAGCAGTGCTGACGAAATTGCTTAATTAAGCATGAAACCCGTTCGACAACTCAGTGCTTCGTTAAGCCAAATTTTCCCTTGCTTCAAAAAACCGCTTTTCTCAGCCTAAATAAAATCCAATGGCAAATAAGAGTTATTTTCGTTTATCCATGCTTTCCACTTTTTAAGCAGTTAAAGTAATGCCAGCAATATCATCTGACTTCATTTCTGTTGGCTGTATTGTTATTTAGTTTTCTTTCTATTGAAACGATTTTCGATTTTTGTTAACGTCTTTTGTATGCCACAAGGTCCGGATTTTACTTTTTATTCAACATTGTTGATATTTCAATAATTAAATATATAGATATTTCCTGGGAAATTTTGGATAATTCTGTACTCACTTCTTTACTATGCTATTTGTCATATTAATTGAAATTAAAAGAGACAGCCCAATTGGTTCTCGCTTTGGGCTAGGTGTCCCATCATGGTCATCGGTTGACCATTACGTTTCGCGTGAATCTTTTCGGAAGAGACCCGACTTTCCTTTGATGACCCACCGTTTTTGAACCGTTAACGTACAAAAGGGGATCGTGATGATTGCGGCCTCCGCGAGGGGGGGTCGTGACCGGCGAGAAAGTCTTTCCGACTTTTCACTTGATCTCGAGGGGATGATAGGACGAAACGTGACTGCTACTTTTACCCATCGGTAAACACCACGCGATATGCGTCGCGAGGAACGCTAGGTGCATTAACAATTACGACCGAACGTATATGACTACTAGCACAAAAATAATTGATTAACTATGAGCAACGCTAATAAAAATTGAGTATTGTGCAGGTTGAAACTTGATTTCATCTGCGCCAGAATCCATAACTTACACGGACATACACATCTAATATTTATCCATCCAAAATTTCAAACATTTCTTGTTTAAGAGTTGATTTAGTGAATATTGCGAAATGCCGAAATTCAGACCAAAACATGTTCTTTCCACAATGTAAAATATTTTCGTATCGAATGTTAGTATTGCTATTTTTGGAACTGACAGGTCTTCGACGTCTAATTTCTTAACCTGATACGTTTCTGTTTCTTGGACATGGCCTTAAAGCCTTTAATGGTGATTTTTGTGGCTGTTTAGACAGCTTCCTCTACTATTTCCATTTTGAGGTCACGGTCTTCATTTCTGATGTACCAGAGTCCATAGGCTGTGCATGTCAGTACGGTATTGTTAAACCGTGGTATATTTTGATGGCTGGTCTTGCTGTCACAGTTCGAGAGCTGGAGAGAGTCCTTGGGCTGGAGAACCTGTTGGTAAAGTAAGAGCGTAATGATCTTGGAGAGTTTCTATCCATTCACGAGTACATTTTCTGGAATTTGATTTCATTCGCTTTATTCGTTTTTGACGTGTTTTTCATCGCAAAGCGCATCTAATTTCGTACCAAGGTACTTTGCCTCGTTGGCGTACTTAATTTGATCACAGTTGAAGTGGACTGGTAAGTGATGAATTTGCCGGTTGGTGAGGTCCACACGTACCGACCATTAGCTTTATTCTCCACTTTGCCCTATATTTACTGAATCTGAAGATTGAGTTGTTCAGGTTACGGGCCGGTGAAGCATTGGTTTCCCCAACCGCCATTATTGTCGTATCAACAGCGATCGTTGGCCATGCTTCGGTTTTGGTAGATCCCTCTTGAAGAGCAAGTATATGACTGCCTTGTTACACTCTGTGTAAGTTCCAAATAAGCTTCTAGATTCGGAAATGCTGTTATTAATAATGTAATCCAAATTATCGATAAGTTTTGTTCCATTTTCTGAAGTTATCCATTGCGATTTTTGCAGGAAGAGGCAAGATGAAGAAGATGATGGGCATGATGATGATGGGCGGTGCGATGAAGGCGATGGCCATCATACCCCTGGCACTCGGCACTCTGTTCCTACTTGCCGGTAAGGCGCTCATCATCGCCAAGGTGGCTCTCGTCCTTTCGCTCATCATCACCCTGAAAAAGCTGCTCAACTCCAAACAGGACGACCACGGCTGGCAAAGCTCCGGAGGACATGGAGGCGGCGGCGGATGGGACAGGCGTTCATTGCGCCTTGCTCAAGATCTTGCTTACAACGCCTACAAACAATAAGCAAAAAAAAAATCCTTCCTATTCTTGTAAATAATGTAACATAAAAAAAAGATTCCTATTTATTTTATTTATTTATTTAAATTTTTTACCAATAAAAAACCTTTAATTTTCTGTTATCAGATATCCTAAGGATATGCATTTTGTTTATTGTAGTTACAATAAAAATTGTTTTGTTTGAATGGAAATTTTGGATTTTTAAGTCATTCCATCCCATTCTTTTATCGTGAGACAATACGACCAAAATAATGCACGAATCTGGTTTAATTGGTCTGAAGAAAATTGGACAACCAAGGCTGAGGACTAGTCAGGCATGTCTGACAAAATTTTAAACACTTTTTTTCTGCACCATATTACGCTCTCTCTCTCTCTCTCTCTCTCTCTCTCTCTCTCTCTCTCTCTCTCTCATTTTTTCTTTTTCATTATTTTCTTAAAGCAATGTTGGTCTATTCATTTCTCCCTTTTCTCAACCTTTCATTCTTCGTATATCGCTACCTTCGTCCCTTCTTTCACTCTCTCTTTCGTTTTTCTTCTTCTTCATCATTTTTAACACTTTCTTGGTCTGTTTATCTCTCCCTTTTCTCACCCTCCAATTCTCTTCCGCTCTCACTCTCTCTCTCTCTCTCTCTCTCTCTCTCTCTCTCTCTCTCTCTCTCTCTCTCTCTCATTTTTCTTCTTTATTATTTTCTTAAAACATTGTTGGTCTGTTCATCTCTCCCTTTTCTCACCCTCCAATTCTCTTCAGCTCTCACTCTCTCTCTTTATCTCTCTTTTTCTTTCTTTCTCTCTCTCTCTCTCTCTCTCTCTCATTTTTTCTTCTTTATTATTTTCTTAAAACATTGTTGGTCTGTTCATCTCTCCCTTTTCTCACCCTCTCCTTCTTCCTATATCTTTCTTTGGACCCCTCTTTCGCTCTCTCTTTCTATTCTTTTTTGTTCTTCATCATTTTTAACACTTTCTTTGTCTGTTTCTCTCTCTCTTTTTCTTTCTGCAATTCTCTTTCTCTCTCTCTCTCTCTTTCTCTCTCTTTCTCTCTCTTTTTGTAACTGCTTCTAAACTAAAGTATTATTCTTTAATTGTGTTTGTAGTGATCTAGTAATTTGTACTATATCTTATATAAACTATGTTTTCACATTAGAAATGTTCTTAATAGTGTTAGTAGTGTTAATAGTACTAACAGGTTTTTCTTCTTCGTCTTTCATTACATGCGGCGTACTTTAATTAATAGTTGTATTTGCGTGAAGATCCCTTTCTTTATTCAACTATATGCCCAATCTAAAAGGATTACATACAGAAAAAAACACCAAACAATCTGTAATTAATTTCTGCTAATTACACCTGCAGTAACGATTAGAGGAGAAAAAAGGAAGCGTGAATCTCCCGGTAACGGTCTTCGGATTCGGAAGAAGTGGGCTAATAACATTAAGTCGTTACACCGTCCCACATTATGTTCAGTAGTACTCTGTACAAGTCCGACATCCTTTTACGTACGTGTGGCGTGAGGGAGTCCGTGAAAAGGAGACTATCCTGATTTCTGGACGACCGAGAAAAATCCTCGTTCGTTCTTTTTTTTTGTGCGTCTCTACGTGTATGCGTTATAACACGTTCATGATTTCGACATCGTTTAACTATTGTTACACTCTCTCTGATACGTTTTGTACGTTTCACGGGCAAAACTACCCTTTCGTCTCGAACCAAAGTGAATAAAAATCTATGTAAAAGCAAAACTGTATATAGTTAAATCAAATTCATTGTTTTTTTGTGATTTTTTTTAAGAGTTAAACACTTAACACACTGTTCACATATTTTAAGCTGAAGTTATGGCAGCGCCTGAAGTCCATTAGATCAGTGAGTCAGCAAAGCCAGGCATGCTTTTCCCTTATCCTTAATCAGCAGTTCTTAATTTTTTATAAAACCTTATTTTCTTTAAACCTTCGTCTAACCTTTAGTTGTAATTATCCGTTGAAAAGTTTTTTTTTTGTTTGGAGATTTTGCCGCGAACTTCAAATAATTACGCCAGACGCTTTCAAAAATTCCATAATAAGACTAACCAAATTCATTTCTTACAATCAAAAAGTGGAAACACTGGAACATATCATATTGGAACTCCTTTTTAAAAAGATAGTTCCTACTGATAGTAAGTTGTTTTGCAACGATCCGGATTTCGAGCCCTTTAGCTCATCATCAGGTTGAAGGTTTCTACAACCTGATGATGAGCTAAAAGGCTCGAAATCCGGAATAGAAATAATAAAATAAACGTCGGTAGCTCCTGACGCAAAAAAATCATCTCTTACAACCACTGAAAATCTCCAAAAATTCGATAACAAGACTAACAAAATTCAACATGTATACACCTTTAACTTAGAAATGGTTAGATTAACTACGAGGGTCTGGTTTTGACATTGTCTTTCAGTGCATAAACCATAGGAAATAGCACCCGCTACTCCTCAGACAAAATTAATCTAATTTCTTCAGAAACCATACCTGTCCAGTTGTGAAATTGCGTAGTTACAGATATAGCATTTTTCAGTCAAATGAAACTTTTTTCAACCAAATGAAACTTTCTTTTCAAACAAATGAAACTTTTTTTCAATCAAACGAAACCTTTTTTCAATCAAATGAAATTTTTTTTCAATCAAATGAAACCTTTTTTCAAGCAAATGAAACCTTTTTTCAATCAAATTAAACCATTTTTCAAAGCAAATGAAACCTTTTTCAAGTAAATGAGACTTTTTTCAATCAAGCAAATGACTTTTTTCAAGCAAATGAAACCTTTTTCAAGTAAATGAGACTTTTTTCAATAAAATGAAACCTTTTCTCAATCAAATGAAACCACTTTTCAAGCAAATGACTTTTTTCAAGCAAATGAAACCTTTTTTCAATCAAATGAAACCATTTTTCAAGCAAATGAAACCTTTTTTTCAATCAAATGAAACCATTTTTCAAGCAAACGAAACCTCTTTTCAAGCAAATGAAACCTAAAACCTAGTGATAATAATTATGTAGAGGAATAAATAAATGACATTATAGTACTAACAATAATTTTTATGATGATTGAATATTAATATTACAATAATTGAATCGTAAGGCTTCGGTACAAGAACGTTTCTTGTTAAGATCCGTATTCATCAAACTTTTCTACATCCACCCAGTCGGAGTTAAATTAAGTGGGACAGAAAAATGTTTTTGTGCGAGCAACAATTTTCTGTGATAGAAATTATGAATGATAAAGTGGGGTGGAGTTCAATCCTTTTTTAAAAAGATGGTTCCTACTCACAATAAGTTGTTTCGCAACAATCCGGATTTCGAGCCCTTTAGCTCATCATCAGATTGATGGGTTTCTACAAACACGTCTCTCGAAATGAATTGCAAAAGTGAACCCGCTGATACCCCCGCCAACGCGAAAACGCCCTTCAACCTGATGATGAGCTAAAGGGCTCGAAATCCGGAATGTTGCGAAACAACTTACTGTGAGTAGGAACCATCTTTTTAAAAAAGGATTGAACTCCACCCCACTTTATCATACATAATTTCTATCACAGAAAATTGTTGCTCGCACAAAAACATTTTTCTGTCCCACTTAATTTAACTTCGACTGGGTGGATGTAGAAAAGTTTGATGAATACGGATCTTCACAAGAAACGTTCTTGTACCTAAGCCTTACGATTCAATTATTAAGATATTAATATTCAATCATCATAAAAATTATTGTTAGTATAATGTCATTTATTTATTCCTCTACATAATTATTATCATTAGGTTTTAGGTTTCATTTGCTTGAAAAGTGGTTTCATTTGATTGAAAAAAGGTTCATTTGATTGAAAAAGTTTCATTTGATTGAAAAAAGTTTCATTTGATTGAAAAAAGTTCCATTTGGTTGAAAAAAAGTTTCATTTGGTTGAACAAAAGTTTCATTTGCCTGAAAAATGCTATATGAATCTGTATCTAAAACTATTATCTGATTTTAAACAACACTTGTCTAAAAACGATACAAAAGTAAGTTTTCATCTCATTCATATCTTCATAGACAGATTCATATAAAATACCAAAATAATAATAATATTCTTTTATTTCATTTCAAGTGCATTCTGTTTAAAGCAATGAATCTGCGTTAACGTTGAAAAGAAATCCGTATAATTAATTCTTAACAGACCATGGCAACAGTCTTGATTACGTTAATTGCGATAATACCAGCCGAGGAAAGCTTGTTGACCCTAGAAAAGAGGAATTGAAGATTATAAAAGTCCAGTGATGAATATAGCCGGTAATATATTAATTAGACATTAATTAATGGAAAAGCTGTTTGAAAATTTATAAACGATCGGTTTTTCCATCACGTAACACTTGTTTAAATGTCTTTCGCATAATGGCGATGAATCTTACTCAAAACGCAAGAAAATTAAAGGTTTCATACGAAAAAATTAACTTGATTAACTACGATCTTATTAAATTTACCAATTGTTTAAACCATGATAATATTGATGACTTACACGACTAATATCTAAATTTATAAATTAAATATCTATGACTTCTTTACTAAAAAAAAGACTAAATGTGAAAAATAATTTAAAATAATAAAAATTGTTTTGTTATAAAACAATCGTTATAAGAGATAGTGACTTAATAGCATTTAAGTTTTTTGTTCAACTTCAGCAGAAACTTGGAGGAAAACCGCCCTGGTTGAAGAATGTAACAAAAGTAAATACCCCACACAAAACAGACAAAATTGCTAAATCGTGTTTTCTAAAAAATAAATTTAGAGAAGGAAAAATTGAAAATTTAGTTTTTGTCTGTTTATTACTTATTCTCTCCTAGACTCTGCAAGAATTAAGCCCTGAAATTTTAAAATATGAGCGTAAGCTCCAAGGAAACTTTTTTATTATTATTTTTCCAACAGAAACAAGCTAAAATGAAAAAATCTTTTTTCTCCGATTAATGCTTGCTATCAATTAATATTTGCAGGATATGCCTAGAATGACAGACAAGGGTTGAAAAAGGTATGTGACAAATCTGAAGGATAACAATCACCAATATATCATGGGAGTTCTGAGAAGCTGAAGTTGATGAAAACAGGTAGAAAAGCTTTTCAGCTGATGCCCCTTGTCCAGATGGCATTATTAAGGTCTTTGCCCACTAGAACGTATCATACCAGGACCGTAACCGTACCGACACATGCAAATAAATATTCTTTACATCATTTAGTACTAGAAAATGCCCACTACACCGTTCCGTCACCGGCGAACACCGTACCGTGCCGTGCAAAAAAATCGGCTGCTGAAAATATTTTGCAGGTGTCGGTCCGTTGGGCGCATCCGGCCTACTGTGTTGCTATCCCGTTCCACATAAGTTCTTTGCATTTGACGAAGAGATCTGTGTTTGTGTTCTATTGTATTGTGAGTGTTTGTGTCTAAGTAAAAATGGAGGATGAACAACTAATAGAATATGTTCGTAATTACGAGTTTTTTTTACAATTTACAACATCTAGTGGTTCTGTTCCTCTTCCTCGTCCAAAACAATGGCAATCATGGCCAATTCTCGTTTAGATAATTTTCTAATAGCCATACTTTATTTAACAAATTCACTCCACACAAGAAAACAAAAGTTCACAAACGACGCGTTTTTAAAAAAGAAATGTACGACAGCTACTGAAGGAGGACGGCTGCTCGTCCATTGGAACCGAACAACGACGGCCGTTCAACAGCCGAACTATTTGACCAAACGGGCGACCGGCAATATAGCCGAACACCGTCGTCCACTGTAGCCGATTTTTGTCAGTTCACGACACAACCCAAATGGATGCAGATTTGTTGCTGCTCGAAAATTCCCAGTTTATATACAAATGGAATGAAAGAAATAACCAAAAATATTGGAAGTTCCATTTCTAAAGCTATCCTTGACCACAGCTGGACATCTCTCCGATGATAGAGTGGATCACGCATGTCCCAAGAGCCTGCTCCTCAACCGCACATCAATTTTTCGCAATCCATCGAAATGAAAACGAAACGAAAAGGTAAGCAAAAAGCAAAGAACGGCGTTAAACAATGTGAGCGTTTGATGTCACGTGGTTGACAGTTGTAGTCGAAGTAACCATTCGGCCGAATGGGACTGGAAAATCCAACTTTATTTGGATCGGAAAGTGCTTCGGCCGTACACGACCCAACGAATTGGTTCTAATGGACGCGTGCTCATTCGTTTCTTCGCTTTTGGATCATCCGGCCCTATTCGGCCGAAAACGTTTCCAGTGGACGGCCTACCTAAAACGTTTTTACATACGCGTTATAAACGGGTATAGAACGCGGTTCATCCGTTGCGGTGAGCATAGTAGTGACCGGACCGTTTTTTTTCGTGTCTGACACGGTCCTAGTATGATACGTTCTAGTGGGCAAAGACTTTAATAAGACTGGATCAGACACTAATGGAAGAACATAAAAGCAATTGTGCCAAACCTGCTTGAAGTGATCAAATTGCTGGTAGAGCAGGATGGTCAGGGACTAGATGTTTTTATTCAACTGCCGAGTGTATGAAATCGATTCATTCCTTTACCGAAGAAACCCAGTTTCAATGTGATTAGTATTGCTTTATCTTGTATGTCTCATGTACGAGCATTTTTTCATATAATATGTACGAGAATTTACATCTTGTCTCGAGATTTGGATTTCAGAATGGTGTAGGTATATTGAGAGTGAATGTATTTATTGGCGTGAATTTGTTGCGTGAAAGGGCCAATGGCTTGTTCTGGAGTTGTTTGCTTGCTCTAGTATTCAGATGTCAATCTAATTTCTTTTTTCTAAGCAATTATGTGCCTTAGGTGTAAAAATATTCCATTGTCCCAACATTAACTAGATGTGATGGGTATTGGCAGTCCGGCATTGGATCTGATCTTTGACTGATGCAATTCCTATTTGCTTTTAGCCAACCCATTTACACTCTCAAACATTCTTAAATACATTCACTCCTATTTTCGTACCGTTCATTCAATTAGCCTCTTGAGTTCTCGATATGCCTCCATCACTCCTCACACCTATCATTCAACCAACCTAATTGTGGGTTGATGGTAACTCAATATTCCACCATCTCTTACTCTGCACGTTTACACAAATAAATGCATTCCCTATGCCTGCTTCCCTGCTTCCTCCAAAAATTGGAACAAGGGATTCAGCACAAGTACGATTCGAATGTCGGGTTGCATTCCTATACACTCTCTATACAAAACCAAGGAAATGCACCCTTCAATTAGATGGAACACATCAAACCATCTTCCTCAACATACTGGACATACGATACATAGACGGGCTCTGGACCAAAAGTGTCCAGGTGTCCTCAAGTGACCTATTCCTAACTGGCTGAGGTGATCGCTCTCCTACAAGACAGATCCTCCGACAGCCACCTATCAGCAGAGCTCTCGATACACAAAAACTTCTCTGCTGATTTTCATTATTATTTATTACTTAGCTGCCAAAAAATTCAATTAGATTAATATTTTGATTTATATAATCAGCTATTTATCACATTTCGATCAAATATTTGCTTGTTAAAATTATCGGTAAAATCTAAATCTAAAATCTGATCCAGGCCGGCAGCAAGCCGAGCAAATTTCTAATTATAAGAAACGCCCCAACTGCAACATCCAGAATTCTACATATAAAAGAAAAATTATTCATTGAACAGATGTAAATTATCACAGTTTTAGGTTTCACACCATCTTCGTTGAGACAAATTTCAAACGCTACAAACTATAAAATGATTTGTTCAATGTCTCGGACTTTGTGTGTCAAAGTATTATCTGAATTGTTATTCAGTTTATCTTTTATTTTTCAAATGCTTTATCAAAAAATATATCACCAAGAGGATCCATTTCCAAAATAACCAAGGGACGGTAATTAACAAATTGACGAGACTTCTCGATTTTAACAGGATTGTGTGAAGATCCACTGCAGAATTGTCCTGCTGGAGTATGACACTCAGTCAATCGCCGTTTCCTTAAAAAAAAAAAAAAAAAATGTGGAGCTGGGAATTTTGGGAGATAAGGGCTGTAAAGTAGAAAATGGTTTTGGAAACATGTCTTACAGGATCCATGGATCCGACCTGATTCTGCCAGTTTCTCTTGTTTTTTTAATGCAGTTTTAGCATCGGAAGCAGGATGGCAGTGAAGTCCTCAGGTTGGTATGTACTGGCCTTATCCACTTCATCAACCTTTTCATTGCCCTCTACCAATGTACCTGGGTAACCAGACAACAACCACAGTTTTGCTAACTCTCCAGTTCATGGTATTTTTCTAACAAGAGACTATAAATGTTTTGCTTTAGAATTATTTGTCAATAAATGTTAGTTTGGCTATTCAAACTTAATTTGTTAAAAGTTTTACCGATTGCGTAAACTGCTTCTTTTTTCATTTGAGGCCGTCGTCTGTTTTTACATTTCAAAACTAGCCACTTTGCAAGTTCTATTCATTAGCCATGAACGTTCAATATTACAGTGGATTCTCTGACATGTTTCTGAATAAAAATCATTTAAATATGAAAGGCCGAAAAGGATTTGAGAAATAAAGTTTATTAAAATGTACAGTCATGTATTGCATTAAATCAAGGGAAACAAGCGCTCATTGATACATGTTCCTCAAATTTATTCGCTCAGTACACAATTAACATTTTATATACAAAAACAATAAGACTTTTTCAAATAAAGTTCGGTTCCAGAGAAAGATGATCAATGCAAAACTGATGCACAGAAATTCTTTTACATAACATGAGTATGAGGGTGTATTACCATAGCTAATGGTTCGATAATTTATACACCAAACACATAACCTAAAAGCCCTGAGAGAAACAAGTAGAATAAGGAAAAACAACAAAATATAAAAACGAACATGACAGAAACACGTTGCCTGCCCCATAGCTGCCATAAGTGGGCAACACTAAGCAACGCTTTATTTTTCTACAACAAAATTTCATAATTTACAATTCCACAATGAAATAAAACAAAAATCCAGACCCTTTGCTATATGTACTGCTTATAAATAAATCAGGAACATCACACTATATATCCATATAAAAATTTAACAAAATGATTTTGGCATTTTTGTTTAAATTACAATTTGTTTTAATTTAAAAAAAAAGTTTTATTGAAACATAATTAGTTAGATAGTAATTATTTTGAAGACAAATCATCGCAATTATTTATAATACACTTCGATTTATAAAGTAGTTTCAAAATAATAAAATTACAACAGTGTTTAATTAGAAAGACCCATTCTTTCTAGTAGAATAAAAAAAATTGCTTTGAAAAATAAATTAAATTCTTACATCTAAAAATAAAATATATTTAAACAAAAAATAACAATGTTGTGCGTTATTTTTTTTTTTTTTTTTTTAAATTGGCATAACATTGTAAAAGAAGAAACGAGATGTCCTCCAAAGAGGCATGATATAGTAGATAGGGTTTTCTCCTCGATAATTCAAATAAATTAAAAAAGACCTACATCTATTATTATTAGTTTATCTACAATAATTTTTTGTATTTCCATGCACGTTGTTCCGGAAGGATGATGAATGAAAGATTGCAAATGAAGGAATTGCGAATTAGTAAATAATGAAAACTAAATTCATTTAAATAAACCGTAGTGAATAAAAATCGCTAACTACAGGGAATCAAACCTGAATCGTTTGTCGAGAAATTCGGTTTAAAATAAAATTTTAAAAACTTTTTTTGCCAATTGCCTAATTTTTGGCTAGTCCAAGTGAACACAGGAAATTATGTGAATGTTTTATTTTATAGTTATTGTTTAGTGGATGGCCTTAAGGCCTTGTAAGTTAATTGACTGAACATTTGATGACGCAATGCAAAGTTTCAAAACTGGCTCGGTCTAATGTGGATTTTGAGCTGCAAACTGTGTTCGAGCGATGTAAACGATAGCCAGGGACAATTTTTTGAATTGAGCAACAATCCTTTGTGCTTCGTATGAGTTCAAATAAATTAAACAACGGCAAAATAATAGAAAACAGAAAAAAAAAGTTTATGTATCACAAATTTATGAAAACCGACAATAAACCTACACTCACAAACTACTAGAAATTATATAATGTGAACTCTATGCCCACAGGCTGTTTTTAAATTTCTTTTCATTAGCCTAAAAAAGGGATTACGTTTTTTATCAATAGTTTAAATATTATTTTATTATAATAGTTAATAATTATGCATAAGGAGTAGAAGTTTCTTATTCATAAGTTGTTGTTTTTTTAAATCTTATTATATTATCTGGGTTTTGAGTGATATATATTTCATGTGAAATGCCAATTCGGCGATAGACCCCCTTGGAGAAATTGAGGAAAAGCTTATCAATATTTTTTTTGTTTTTTTGTGTTTTTTTTTAGGTAACTACAAAGATTATCATTCAATAATTTTCTTGAATATGCTATTTACATAAAAAAGCAATTTCTAGGATAGAGAATTTGTTCGATTAAAATAATACCTAAAGAATGAGATTACAATTTTTATAAATTAATATTAAATATGTACACAAAATTTAGATATAGTTGTCATGTATGTTGCTGTGATGTATTTGTGCTAAACGGTAATAATTTCATTAATAAATAATTTGTGCCTGCAACATCTCGAGACAACGTCCTGTAGTTCGTTAGAAAATTAAAAACAAGTTATAAAAAATTTGTTTAACTAGTTGGCACAGTGAAACGCTGGAAGGACTTGGGTGGGTGAGACGGTGATAGCGGTCCCCCCGAGCGTTTAAATGGTTATAATAGAGTTGCTCGATCAGCTCACTGCCTGGTCTGCCTTCGGAGCCAAGTAGAGGTCATCGATCGGTATCGGCATGCTGCGAGCTGACTGCTTTTTCTGCAATGGTGGTACATATTATAACAGAAACTGAGATAAAGATGACGACTGACCTTTCTCCTGAACGGGAAACACCCTTGCTTCTCAGGCTGAGGAACGGCGTCGAGTATCAGATCTGGAGATGGTGTGTTATTTGGTCCAAAATGGTTTAACTCTTTATAACATTCCGTTTCAATCATCTATGAAGGCAAAAACAGATTATATAAACCAATAGGAAAAAGCACAATGATAAAGCAAGCGAAAACTTCAGAACATCTTGAGCAAGTTTAATGAAATTTTGTTTACTTCTTGAACAATGTTAATTTTAAATGGTTACATTAGTTTTAATAATTCGACCATTAACACATCGACTACATAACATATAACGTTTTTATCATACATCAATCCTCCCTGTAGTGGACGCAGAAACTTATTATATTTAGTAACTGTCCTCGTCTTTATAGTTTTTAAATTCTATCCCCAGGTCATCCGTTATGCATTTTGTTTCTAATACTTCAGGCCGCATCAGAAAGGCAGAAAGGTCAACAGAACTTTATTTTTTCCAACTGATTTTTGCCATAAATTCAATGAACTACCAAGGAATAGAGGGTTTTCAAAGAAAAGTTCCAACAATAAAAATATCCACTTTAAAGAGGGAATGTTGTCTAAAGTTTAGAAGTTGAGTAGATCTATATGGTAATTATCTAACACTGAATCATACTCCCACCTCATTTCACCTATGCACGTGCTTGTACTACCCTCCACCTCCGATGCGATGAAATTTTCAGGGATTATGAGAGTTGGTTTCTAGATAGTCCCATACCAATTTCATCACAATCGCACCAACGGTATCGCCATCGCATGCACAACATAAAACTGCGTATACAGCTTTATCTCCGAATCCATTACACAGATTTGATGAAATTTGCAGGGATTATGAGAGTTGGTTTGTACTTAGTCCCCTACCAATTTCATCACAATCGCACCAACGGTATCGCCTGCACATGCACAACATAAAACTGTGTACACAGCTTTATCTCCGAATCCATTACACAGATTTGATGAAACTTCCAGGGATTATAAGAGTTGGCTTGTATATAGTCCTCTATCAATTTTGTCACAATCGCACCAACGGTAATGCCTGCACATGCACAACATAAAACTGCGTACACAGCTTTATCTCCGAATCCATTACACAGATTTGATGAAATTTTCAGGGATTATGAGGGTTGGTTTCTAGATAGTCCCCTATCAATTTCATCACAATCGCACCAACGGTATCGCCTGCGCATGCACAACGTACAATTGCGTACACAGCTTTATCTCCAAATCCATTACACAGATTTGATGAAATTTTCAGGGATTATGCGAGTTGGTTTGTAGTTAGTCCTCTATCAATTTCATCACAATCGCACCAACGGTATCGCCTGCGCATGCACAACATAAAACTGCGTACACAACTTTATCTCCGAATCCAGTACACAGATTTGATGAAATTTTCAGGGATTATGAGAGTTGGATTGTAGTTAGTCCACTATGATTTGTACAATTGGACCAACGGTATCGCCTGCGCATGCACAAACGTAAAATCTACACAGCTTTATCTCCGAAATCATTTATCCGATTCTTATGAAATTTTCAGGGATTATGTTGATTGCATTTTAGAAGATAACTTATGAATTTTAATCCGAAGAGGGTATGCATAAAATATGAGGAAGTTATACTGCCCGCTCACTTATAAATTTTCCCCCCTTACACTCTCTTAGTTGTAATTAACTTTATCTGAAAAATGTAAACTGCATTGCAAGTAATTTTTCTTACTTCAGTCTGCCAAGGTATCGAAACAGAACCCGTGTTAAATTTTGAATAAAATGTATCGTCTGTGGCATCTAAGCTGACTCCTTTCACTGTTGAAAATTGTTCAATGTCAAGGACATCTTTTGCATAGACTGCATGCGGCTGTAGAAATAAAGTAAAAACCGTTATTAAACATAGAAAGAAAATTCTCATTCAAGCAAACGTTCTTACATCAGGTACAAATGGTGGATCGACCATCCCAGCTTCAAGCCTCTTCCAGTTGATCGACCTGAAAAACTCATGCTGTTTCACCTCCCTTGCACCATACCGTCCACAGTGACACCCGAGTCTCGTCTTGCCAGATTTTTTCAACAGCTGAAATTCATTCATTTAAATGAAAATTCTTTGTAGCGTACGAGAATGAACTCACTTGTTTACATAAAGACTTGGCCTCCTCGGTAAACTTGGAGGAATATTTCTCCTGTTCGGATTTGACCCGCCTGTCAACCTCCTCCCGTTTCACTTTCTCCTTTCTCGCCCTGAATGGAGCCTGACCCTCGATCATCTCATACACCAGGCAGCCAAAGCTGAACCAGTCAGGGCTGAAAGTGTACCTCTCGTTGTCTATAACTTCAGGGGCTGTTAACAAATTATTAATTGTTGACATTGTTCTTTCAATCAGATCTTTAATGTGTTTTCCTTCAACCTACTATTTTTTTACATTACTTTTTTTTTATTACCCTAATGTAAATATTGTATATTGTTTGACAAATTCCAATATAAAAATTTAAAAAATATAAATTATATTAATTCGTACCCATATAACCAACTGTCCCAACTCGTCCACGCACCATTTCCCCTTCGGGTATTTCAACAGCAAGGCCCAAGTCTGATATCCTGACGTGACCAGCATCGTCCAGGAGAATGTTCTCAGGCTTGCAGTCCCTATAGACGAGGCCTTGATAGTGTAGATGCTCCAGACCGCACAAAACCTACAAACTGAAAAGTTGAACACCAAGGCCTAATGAGTGACAGATGACGTGCGTACCTCTGCTGAATAAAACCTTGCCCTCGAAATGTCAAATCCAGGTTCGCCTCCCATATTATATATATGAAACTTAAGATCTCCACCATTCATTATTGTTAGAACCAAACACAAAGCATCTTTTGTTTCGTAAGCGTATGCAAGACTGACCTTTAAGCCATAATTATATATTTAAATGGTTTGAAAAAATAAAAAATGCAGGCTTTTTAAAAATCGCTTACGACAAATCTTGAATTTATCTTCTGTAAGATTTGCTTTTCAATAAGCACCATCGCTTCTCCTTTCCTCTTCTTTATCCGTTTCTTCTCCAGTTTCTTGCAAGCGTACATCTTACCAGTGGCACGAACCTGGCAAGCACATACTTCACCGAAGCCGCCCTTTCCGAGTACTCGGTACATCCTGAACGTTTTGTATGTGATAGGTTGACTGTAATTATAATAATAATAAAATAAAATAAATTCTGTATTGACCATTTTCTAACGATTTTATTGTTTACCTTTCGAGCCATTTCCATTGCAAATAGCGATGAAAATACATGGAATTTTCAAACAAATGGAATGGCTCTCCAGCCAAAAATGTTTTAACGGTTGCCATTATGTCATCAAAAAGTTCTCTGTTCCCTAAATTCAGTCTTTCTTTACATGCTTCGATTAGAGTAGTATTTAAGAGTACATCTATTGGTTCTGGAGCCTAAAACGAAAACAATATAAATGAGCTGAATCACGTCCCTTTTTTTTTAATTTTACAAGATTTTGAGTAAATAAAGATAAACTAATCCAAACTAAGACAACAGAAACTAAAACCTTTACTTGTTACAAGGTATCATGCTAACATTCATACAAGTCTCCTTTGTATTATCCTCTCAAAATCATTTTGGGAGTGATATTACAATTTACTGCATCAACATTCGAATCATATCAGTACAGTAAGTAAAAATAAAAGAACCCTGAATGTGTTAAAGAAACTGGTAATAATTGCAATTTTCTTATAATTGAAAGTCTCATTGAGTTCAGGATGGAATTTCAATTTTCACCCTGCCAGACGGCAAAATTTCGTATTCCTAGAAATATTTAGCTCTTTGTACTTGGAAATTAATATTATTGGCAAAACATTAAAGCCTACAACCAACTACCTCTGAGTGCGACAATGGACAACTTATTTGTCCAACGTGAACAGACTTGTCACGAGCCATTTCCATCAGAAGTTGTTGTTGTTGAAAAAGTGCAAATTCACTTGAATAATGGCAGGTATTAAAACACAAGTCGATAAGAGCCCTCGTTTGTGCCCGTTTTGTTGCGAGAAGCGAAGATCCAAAATAATTTAGATTTTTACTGCAAAAGGGTCCTCCCTCCTAGCCCACCATGAAGGTATGGACTGAAAAATTCTCCTAGGGGAGGATATATTTACGGGACAAACGGGAAATTAATTAATGCAAAATTTTTGAGTGCATTTTTCAATAATAAATATGTAAAAATATAAATATGTAATAATTTATATTGGCTTATATTGAATTCTATAAGTCTTCTTATAAACAATGAACTTCTATACTTTAAAAGAGAGTCCTTAAGTGTCTATCAAACACAAAAAAATCCGACATTGGGCATAGACGGACTTCAAAAAAGTCATATAGTTGGGTGTGAGCAGCATTAAGTTTAACTGAAAAGAAATGCTTAGTACTTTTTCGCAGCAAAAGTTGTAGATACCTCGCAGTATGACGACAAATATGGAAAATTACGACACGTCATGACCTTCATACAAGGCGGGTTGGGCTTTCAGTTCACCAGCACTGAAAGTGTTAAAAGGTTGACCAAACCAAAAAACAGTGTCTTTTTCATCCTAGCTCGAAAGAAATTTATTTTTATTTATAGAATATTTTAATAGTTTTATCGTCAATACACCCAGCTCATCACTGAAAGAAATCTTCAGAAATTCATAATGCAGAGCAGTTCCACTAAACCGAGCACAAATGGATTTGCAGAGGGGAAATTTTTCAAATTGTGAAATATATTTTTGTATTTTCCAAAAAAATTTAAAAGGTATTGTCAGTTATTGTGGTTTTGCAAACTATAAACTGTACTGGCGATTTCACTGTACTTTAAACCTAAACTGTGAGGACTGAGAGAGAAGTTTTTTATTTATCTCAGTGTAGTTTTAAGCTAAATTATTATTAAAAACAGAAGTTGATGACAGCTAAAAAGCATTTGACAAACCGAAACTGAGAGGACAGTAGGCAGATCAAAATTATCAGAAACGACTTAACTACACTCACCCTTGTCCGGTTTTTTAATTTTTTAATTTACCCTCTGATCCTGCATGTCCATTCCTTAACACATCCGTTATGGAAACATGCAATAGACTTTTCTCCAATACGGACGTCATTTTAGACAACTTCCACTGCTTTCAAAGCTTGATGTAGGGTGTTGGTTTTTCCCACTCACCCCTCGAATATAATGGGTTTTTCACCGACCTTTAGTATCACTTTGTCGACATTACTATGAATACTATGAAGTTATTCAGATATCGTGAGATGCGGTCTGGTGTGATGTAGGTTTCAGAAAGACATTTTCTTTATCGTGCCAACGTTTCGATCTTTATTGAGATCATCTTCAGGGCCTGGGATTTTACAAACATTGTTTACATTTAACAAATACATTTAGGATGTGGAAAAGTGAATTTATACAATGCAAAATGTATTTCTCTCAACACGACACGCAAGAATGGCACAATTACACAGAAGACAAACACTTTGAGTGAGTAGAAATACTTTGATTGAATATAGGATATATTTTGCATTGTATAAATTCACTTTTCCACATCCTAAATGTATTTGTTAAATGTAAACAATGTTTGTAAATCCCAGGCCCTGAAGATGATCTCAATAAAGATCGAAACGTTGGCACGATAAAGAAAATGTNACCACACATTCAGATTTATTTTAAAAATATGCTTTCAAAACTATTTTATATATAAATATATATAATTATCACAAATAAATATGATGAGTAAGTAGTAAATTTCAAGTAAATGCAATGTAATTTTCAGTTTTATTAATTTGTATCTTACCTCCCCATATTTTTAAATGTATTAACGATTAATAAGTCGAAACATACAAATAGCCAATTTTTTGAAAGTATACGGGCTGAGATAAATATTTAGAGAGTACACAATAGATATTCTTGTCTGAGTGCAAGTATTTATTAGCGTGAATGGCAAGGGGTGAGTGTGAAATATAACAACATCATCGCCCCTTGAACGTTGAGAGCGTATGAGTGTGTTCGGGGTCGATGGCGGAATATTTATAAAAGTACTCCATCGACCCCAACCTTGATTAGTTTGAGTATAGGTCGGTGGAGGCATATCAAGTACTTCACCGACCAAAGCGAATGACTGTATTGTATGGATGTATTTATGTGTATGAATGTATTTATTTGTATGAATGTAGTGTTTGAAAGGGTAAATATAATATATACCTAGCTGGGGAATGAAATGACCTACATGTCGGAAGCCCCAGTCCAAAAAAAAAAAAAAAAAAAAATTGTTTAAAATGTATATTTATTTAAAAAAAAAAAATATTCTTAACCTGACCTCCCAATTTTTTTCCAAAATGTTAATTTAAGGTCCATTTATCTAAGCAATACTGTAAAAAATATGTATTTCATCTGCCTTTACAAAAAAAATAATTATATAATTTTTTCCTCCATAATAGGTAAGTAGTATTAACCTATCGTGAAATACATTTCTTAAAGGTAATTTTTTTTTTAATACTGTTATTTGAAGGTATAATCGAGGACAGCTATCAATTTCAAAGTAATTTCTTTATTCACCTTTTTGGCCTTTTGTACCCACAAATGTTTTTTTTTTTAATTAATCATAAATAATTTTAGTAGCAATGTTTTTGTAAATTCATTGTTAATAAGAAGTAAATACGAAATAATCACTTAATTTCTACACAATTGCATTGTTTTACCAAGCATTCAGATTTATTTTAAAAATATGCTTTCAAAACTATTTTATATATAAATATATATAATCATTTTACAATTGTTTAATTATTTGTAATTATCACAAATAAATATGATGAGTAAGTAGTAAATTTCAAGTAAATGCAATGTAATTTTCAGTTTTTATTAATTTATCTTACCTTATTAATTAATCTTACCTCCCCATAATTTTAAATTTATTAAAGGTGTTAATAAACCAGACAGTTTTATTACATGTTTCTGTATCACAGTTATTTTATCGCAATTAGCTCAGACTATTGAGACAACGGTAAAGCTGAAGATGGTCTTTTTCATGGAAATGGATTTTTTTTTTAATGACCTTATGAACTCGCATATAAGCCAGAGAAGTACATATTTGTTTCAGTATATATGTTTAGTTGGGGGAAGGGTAGCATGAATAAAAGGGCCTGAGATGTCAGTGGGAATCCAACCAACGACCGTGTGGTTACAAACCAAGAGTCCATCACGCTGACCACCCAGCTACCACAGTCCCGACCAAAAAGAAAATTATTTTCACCTTAGGCACATTCCTAAACCACCTGGTTTGCAAAATTCAATCAAAGAAATATGTAAAAATTAAAATTGCAAGCCCTTAAGATAAAAACACAAGATAACAAGGTAACGGGAGATAATTTATTTTTTAATACTTACATCTCTTTTCAGGTACTTATCATAAACGATTTGTGCCAAGTCAGCCCTATTTTCATCTGACTCAACTTCATATTTTTCCTGCAAAAATGTACAATTAGACAATGTTCTTTGGAGGCTAAGATTCTTGCGATAGGCAACCCGACTTACAATCGCATCAAGAAAAACATTATATCGGTGATATTCCTTTTTATCTTCTTGACAAAACTGTCGGAAGAGCAGCCTCCCGATTGGCTGTTGATCAACGACATAGCTGTATTTGGCTTCTGAAAATGCAAATTAAAAAAAAAAAACATGTTGCAAAACTTCATTAGGCCAGATTGATAACATGAAGAAATAGGAATTTTTCATAACAAGGAAAGTCCCTGACAGTAATATTGCACAACAACCTATGTATCAGATCAGATTAGTAAAGTAATAGTAATCAATTTAATTTAGAGTAAAAAGTTTTATTTCAAACTTAAAAAAACTCGAAAAATTTTTATTGATTATAAAAATAAATTTGCGGATAAAATTACTATACATAACGTTTCCTTACCTATTTTATTCTTTAACTGTAGACACTGAGAAATGTGCGGAAATTGCAAAATCTTCTTCCATTTCTTACTCTTTCCCTTATTACTATCTGTGCCACCTAAAAAAAATCAAACATTTGAATTTAAAGTTCTTTTAAAAATATTAATTGGATGAATTAATTGTTGCCAAATTTCACTCATAATTATTTAATTAATTCTTGTAAAATATGGCCTCATGATGAATATAACAAAATAAAATAATTAATTTGACAAATTAAACACATATTGGTATAATCAAACAAATAACAGAACTGTTCAAAGTGTAGATTGTTTTCTAATGAGAATAAACAAATTTGATGCAATTTTTCTTAAATGTCGCAATATGTTTTTATTTTGAAGTGTTTATCATTGGAAAAACGTTTTGAGTTGAAAATGTGTCTTTCCATTTCATTTAATCAATCGCAAGACTACATATTTTTTTAAATAAAAATTATTTTCAAAGGCTATGACTTTGTGATTTACATAGACATTTACATAGACAACGTTCTGCATTAAACAAAGATAAATTTAAATTATTAAATAATAATTAGTTGTATTTATTTTAAGCATAATTTTAAAGCCCTGAAGGTGAATTTCGATTATTCAAGAGCTTTAAACGAACGATAGGAAGTCATGTAATATATACAGCACGTGTGGACTTCCTGGTGGTCTGTTGAATACAACCATGGAGAAAATTCCTCTTAACATTTATTCTTTTATCCCTCCGGGTAATCTTCAATAAACAAAGTTTTAAAAATGGCTCAATCTTTTATAACATCCCATATCAGATTGTTTCGACAGTCTTTGTCCATGTTGGAATATGTTTGCGCAATATTTTTACCTCGAAACATTTTCTTTATGGCTGAATTACTGTAGGAAATGAGTAAAGGTATTGTAAAATAAAATATATTCTGTCAAACCACCCAAGCTATATCATTTAGTCAAATAAAAGTTGTGTTTGTAAAAGGCATGGGAAAATATTATTCGTCAAACAATGATAAATTTGTTTATACAAGTTCAAGCAAATGTTTTTAAAAAATTAAACCGTCTTTACTTTTATGATTTAAAAAAAAAATACAGATTTGCCAAGTTCATGGAGTGTTCATTATTTAACAAAACAAATTTATTAGAAATTCACTATCATTTATTCACATACTTGTCAATTTGTGTTGGGGGGTGGAAAAAAATTTACCCTACTTTCTCCTCCATGAAGTCAAGCCTTTAGTGTTACTTTTATTTTTCCTAAAAAAGTAAATTTAGTCTCAATACTAAAGATACCTAATTTATCTGATGTGAGTTAACAGTAAGTATTGATGTAAAATTTTTTGAAAAAACAAGTGTCAGTGTTTATTTTAAAATCAGGTTTTTCAAGACCACGCACTACATTGCCTCTAAATAAGTTTTTACGGTAGCCTTTCGCTGAAAGAAAATCATCTGCTCGATGGAGTATCTAATATTGTAGGGGGGAATTAATTATTGGCCCCAATGCCTGGGGGACGGGACAATTTCACTAGGGCCGGATCCCAGGGAAGCAATCGCTACTTGAGCTCAAGGTTGTTATTAAACGGCGAAACAATTTTATCTATCTAGTGCTTATACACCGGGCAAGTAGTCAAATTGTCAGTTTCTGCTCCTCCCCTTTGTTCCTATTCTTAATCGAATAATCGTTGTTTATGACCAGCTCAAACCTACAAAACAAACATCGAGCTACAAAAGGCTTCATTTTTTCCTCCTTGCAAACAACTGTGTGTTTGTGTGACCTCCTTGCAATGTGTTTATAATGTGTTTAAAATAATGAGAAAAAATTTAAAATATGTTCAAAATGACCTAATTTATTAATTCATTTCTGAAACTAAAAAAACCTTTGTTAAAAATTTTTTTAATCAATATTTATCAAATAAATAACCTTTTGTCGTAATCAATTTTCAATTTTTGCCATTATTTAAATCAGAATACAACAATCAAATGGCAAAACATTTTTAAACTAAAACATTTTCTTAATTTAAGTGAAAAGCACTTCATTTTTAGCAGGATTAAAAATGACTAAATAACTTAATTAAATAAAAGTTAATTTTATAGATAATATTAATACTACGATGATTCCACCTTCTAGGTATTGCAAATTTGTTGTGGATCAGGGATGCATTCTCAAAGAAGTGAGTATTTTAACTTCTCACCAAGCTTTCAACTTTTATTACATTCTTCATCAGGGCTAGTTACATTGTCATAAATAAATTTAATTACAATAAAACATTTTTAAACTTAAAACAAAACTAAAACAATAGTTCACAATAATTAAAACGTTTAATAAAGTTATTTATAAAATTAAAATGAAAAAAGTGACTAAATTGTTTTTACAAATATCTATTTATATATTTTTTAAAAAAATTAGTCACGTTTTTAAATTTTAATTTTATAAATAACTTTTTGGTTTTAATTATTGTTAACTATTGTTTTTAAAGTTTTGTTAGGGGTTTAAAAATAAAAGTTGAAAGCTTGGTGAGAAGTTACAATACTCACTTCTTTCTGACCACATCCCTGATCCGCAACAAATTTGTAATATTAATATTAACTGGATAATGCGATATGAAAATTTAACATGATAAAATTTTTGTTCATGAAATGTTTACACACATAAAACTACACTAAACTGACTGAACACTACGTGTTTATAAATATATTTCAAGCACCATGGCCCTTTTATTATTCCAGATTTTAAAGAACACAACAAAAGTGAGCCCATTCATATTTATTAAACGCAAACTTATATAAGAGTATCGAGTTCAACAATAGAACAGAATACATCAACAGATTACTATTCAGAACATCTTGCTATTTAAATTCACTTATTGTATAAAATTTATTTTTAAAAAAATCTTGAAATACCTTTTTATACATACACCTTAATTTATGGTAGACGAGTTTACAAAATGGTGAACAAAGCAGGTTTCAAATAATTCAAATTCAGTTACGCAATTCTAAGAAATTTTTCAGCTAAAATTGTAACCCTGAATTTATTTACCTGTCCTTTTTGCTTAAAATTGAATGTTATGTAATGTTTAAACAACTTATATTCTACTTGTTTCAATCGGTATACAATAACATCATTAAATTATGTTCAACAGATATCAAAAATTTTATAGATGATAAAAAATTATTTAAACAAATAAATTAAATATTAAGTCCAAGTTTATCCAAGTGAACATCCCACAAGGGAGCATTTTTTGGACTTTACACGATATATACTGCTGGCATTCATGTCCTTCCAGAAACAATTCTCTCCAGTTTTACTGCAAACCTTTCTCCGCATAAAGAGCCAGTCATCACACGCAGAAACCTTCAAACCATTTACCCCGACATTTGGTCAAAAAAGTGAATAATTAAAATGAATGCAACAAAGAGCCAGTACATTAACTTCCCACCTTTTTACTTTAATGGGACTTCACCTGGACAAACAACCTACTTGGAATTCACACACAGACTAAAACGAAACTAACTTGACTTTACAAACTTATCACCACTACTCGACAGACGATCCGAACTTCCAAAAAGATTGATATACACCATAGTTTTCAAATCTATGTAGACTTACGGTATCGAACTTTGGAGGTCAACCAAGCATTCAAACTGCCAATGCATCCAGTTTCCAATCAAAAGCCCTAAGAAAAATGGTTAATTTAATATTCCCTTTTTTTCAGAAGCCTATTACAAAAAATTCCATCAAGCCGTTTCCTCTAATCCTATTGCTTTGGTCCGTCACCTACCATTCCAGATAATCCTACCCATTGAACGAAATGCCAATGTACACTTGATGCCCTATACAGTGACGAATAAAACTGAAAAAATTATGTTCTATTAGAGTTGATGATGGGTTTTGAACTGCAAGTTAGTGAATTCAAGCTGAACCAGCACAGGGTTACTTACTGGGTCTGTCGAGTTGGTATGGTATGATATGGTGAAGAAGGATACTAGGAAGCAGGTTTGCACTCCCCAGGCACTGCAGCCTTCTGGCTTATTGTACCTTACTAGTTCCTTAGTTCAGTGCAAGACTCAATCTTTCTTAGGAAGACAGGTCATTGACTGTCGCTGCTGCAATTTGATTCCCTAAGTTTTTTCGTATGTTAGGTTAAATCTCCATTGAGCTGTTGCTTCGCATTCGAAGATGATATGAGTTTCTGTTTCCTCCTCCTCATTACCTAATCTGCAAATGGGATCATCGTTGTATATACCCATGTTGTGTAGATGTTTTCTCAGATGCCAGTGACCAGTTAGTAGTCCTAACACTCCTCTGAGTTTGGCCCTCTCCAATTGCAGCAGTGTTTTTGCCAGTCTCGGTGAGGGTTGTTTGATCATAGGTTTACTATGACTGGCAACACTAGAGTTTATCCACTTTTACTTTTGTTTTGTTTGGATCCATTCTGCAATGGACGATTCTATATTTGTTTTTGTTATCCCAAGAATAGGTTTGGGGCCTATGTATGGTCTTGCAGATCCTCCTCTGGCCAGTCTGTCTGCTTTCTCGTTACCCAAAATTCCCCTGTGCCCTGGCACCCAAGATATCATCAGGTTGTTATGTTTCCCCAGGTTTTGGTGATTTTGCACGCATTCACTGACTAATTTCAATGTGATTCTTTAACATGCTACTGCTTTAATGGCTGCTTTGCTATCCGATCTTATGAGGATTTTTTTGTCAGTGTAACCTCTTTTAAGATTTTCCAGGGCACAAGCATTGATGGCATGTATTTCCGCTTGAAAGACCGAAGTGTACGTCCCTAATGAGTTTGATTGCTCATGTTTTGGGCTTGTACAGAAAACGCCTGATTCGGTTCCTTCGTTTGTTTTGGAGCCATCTGTGTATCATATCATTGTATCTGATGCTCTCCTTGAGTTCTTCTTCTCCTTTATAGTCCGTTGAGACTTTATAAGAAGTTGTGAAGATTGTTTCCAGGGTCTGTCGAGTTACTTAAAACACATTTGAATAACTCAACAAACCCGCGAGTGGAGGCAGGCCCAGTAAGAGGGCCTGTGTCAGTTTAGCATGATGTTCTATTAATTTATTTCTTCTCAACCACTGGGTGAG